ATTATATATAATAATATAATATAATATCATACAATAATGCAAAAACACCACATTTTTGTCAGTTGATCTATAAATAACATACTTAGCACAAAGCCATAAAAATAAGGAATGAAAAATAAGGTGACCAACTGTACATACCTTGAACTCTTGTATCAGAAAACATACACATCTGACCATTTGCACAACCTCCATATATACTTCAACTTTATTTCTGCCCCAGTAGAGAAGTCTGCCTTTCAGCATCAGTTTAAAAAAGCTTATTACCATCATCACATACAGACCATATTTGCTTTCTACTGTTCTTTCTGCTCAATTCTGGACAGTCACACCAACACTGCCTATTGTCAGTTGTCCCCAGTACTGTGCCAAAGCTAGAGCCTAATGGGGGATGGGCGAGTGGGAATGTGTAGAGTTAGATCTGTAATAGCAGCAGCTATTATTTTTATGAAGCAAAGTATCTACATGCCAGCACCTTGTTGTGAATGTGTTGCCTCTGAGCCAGCTGGGCCCTGTCAGAACGATGCTGGTGTTGATCAAAGTTAGAGATATAATAGTGTAGTCGATTAACCGATAGACTATAGACAAATATGCATCCCCTGCCTCTACATTTTTTAGCAGGCTGGCCAGCAGCGCCAGGTCTGAGACCTACCCCTGCTGCAGCTCTGCATTTTAAGTGTATTAAGAGCCAGGTGGGCAGGCAGCCTGGCTCATTTCCAGCTTGTGCCAAGTCTGGGAACTCAGACCACTGTCTCCCTCGCCCCAGACAGGGACTATGCCACCCTGTACTGCTGTTTCCGCATCAGAGGCAGCAGCACAGGGCGGCGGTTCAATTGGTTGCAGAATTAGGGCCAATGTGCATGCAGAGAAATTCTGATATTTCTGTTAGTCTTATCAAATCAGGAATGGCGGGTCACAGCATATAACTTACAATTTTAGTTCGGCGTCGTTATGATCCACTCATCTGTGTTGGCTTATTGATACTCAATTGTGTAAGCAGTTAGCTCTCAGGAGAGCTTCCCATGGATATTGTTTCTTTCTTTTTAATCATAAAATAAAGGTGAGTCATCTAATTTTGTGGAAAAGTTTTGAGTCTCCAAGTAATGGAAAACTCTTTTTAAATTATAAATCTAGATGTTCAGCTGGTGTCAATCGGCATAAGTGATATTCTGATTTATACCATCCAAGGATCTGGTCCATACTCTTTCCTCTCCTACCTTTGAAATAGGAGGAATTCTTGTTGAAGGAAGTACCCACAATAATATAATATATATAATAATATATTATATATAATAATATAATATAATATCATACAATAATGCAAAAACACCACATTTTTGTCAGTTGATCTATAAATAACATACTTAGCACAAAGCCATAAAAATAAGGAATGAAAAATAAGGTGACCAACTGTACATACCTTGAACTCTTGTATCAGAAAACATACACATCTGACCATTTGCACAACCTCCATATATACTTCAACTTTATTTCTGCCCCAGTAGAGAAGTCTGCCTTTCAGCATCAGTTTAAAAAAGCTTATTACCATCATCACATACAGACCATATTTGCTTTCTACTGTTCTTTCTGCTCAATTCTGGACAGTCACACCAACACTGCCTATTGTCAGTTGTCCCCAGTACTGTGCCAAAGCTAGAGCCTAATGGGGGATGGGCGAGTGGGAATGTGTAGAGTTAGATCTGTAATAGCAGCAGCTATTATTTTTATGAAGCAAAGTATCTACATGCCAGCACCTTGTTGTGAATGTGTTGCCTCTGAGCCAGCTGGGCCCTGTCAGAACGATGCTGGTGTTGATCAAAGTTAGAGATATAATAGTGTAGTCGATTAACCGATAGACTATAGACAAATATGCATCCCCTGCCTCTACATTTTTTAGCAGGCTGGCCAGCAGCGCCAGGTCTGAGACCTACCCCTGCTGCAGCTCTGCATTTTAAGTGTATTAAGAGCCAGGTGGGCAGGCAGCCTGGCTCATTTCCAGCTTGTGCCAAGTCTGGGAACTCAGACCACTGTCTCCCTCGCCCCAGACAGGGACTATGCCACCCTGTACTGCTGTTTCCGCATCAGAGGCAGCAGCACAGGGCGGCAGGCTGCCAGTCCACAAGGGAAGCTAGTTTTTAAACTAGCTCCCCTCACGGACCAGCTCCCACCTGGCACCGCATGCTGCTGCCGCTCTGATACAGAGGCAGCAGCGTGGAGTGGCAGGGGGCTCCTTGGGAGTGGGGCCAGAGCGCACTGGCTGCGGGCCCCACCTCCAGGGCCTATAGAATAGTCAAGTATCCAATAAGAATTCATGAGGTTAATCGACTATTGAGTTAACCGATATTTAAAATCCCTAATCATAGTAGCTGTTGATTTTGCCACAGATCCTGTTCTTAGAAATGTATGCAGCGAGCTCAAGAGCTCTGGCACTGAACCGACTGATCTGTTTTATAGACATCCTGCTCACCAAGAAAGCAGCCATTCCTTTTGCCATAGATAATCTTCTCCAACGTTAGCACAAATGGCTTGAGAATAGGAAAATCCAGTGCCCATATTTCATGCTGGTCCCCAGCTTCAGCTGCAAGAAACGTTACTGCATGTGACAAAAAGACAGTGTTGTGCCCCTCTCCTGGAGTGTTCCAAAAGGCTCCCACCTATCACATTAGAAAATGGAAGTAGCTAATGTAAATCATGTTGTCCAGAGACTAAGCATGATGTATAAAATTTCAGTTCTGTTGAATACCATAATTTTTGTTAATAAAATAAATTACATACCTGGACAGATGTCCAAACCCTCGCTATATACAGCAAGCCTGCTGACTGGGGGCAGAAGGGTCAATTGCCTTGGGACCCAGCGATTCAAAGAGGTCTGGGGCTCCCAGCTGCTGCTATTGTGGCCTTGGCAGCACCCAGAGACCCAGGCCCTTTAAATCACCACCAGAACACTGCGCTGTGCACTCTGACTGGTGACTGGCTCTGAGAGCTGGGGGAGTGTGAAGGGTTGACTGCCTGTGGCCCTCTAAGAGCTGGGCCCACCCATCTTTTCCAGAGGCCTGCGTGGGATATCAGCTCCCCTGTGTACAGACTTTTGAACCTTGTTTTGGTTAGATTTGGAAATTTACAAAAATTACTTGAAAATTATCAGAAAATGTAAGGATCTGGAGCAGATTCACTATGTTTTTCATACAAAGGAAAGAGGCTGGCTGCTTTAAGTACAACCTTAACCATGATGTAACTACCATTCAACCTTCACGATCTATAAAGATTAAGGTATCTTGGAATAAAATTGTGCTTGGGTAAATATAGGCATTATTTTGAAAATATAAATATATATTTTAAATAACAATCCATCTCTCTCCATGGGACTCCCCACAGTCACAGGTGGTCCAGTGAAACTCCAGCGTATCTAAATTATAGATTTAGGGCATGTCTTCATTGCACTTGTTCTCTTGAACTGTACCTAAAGTTTTGATTCTAAACTGACTCCAGTATGCACACAGAAATCTCTAGTTTGAGTTAAGTGGCATTTTAAACTAAAGCTTAGATGGTCCATCAGATATAGCAGAGGTGGGGAAGCTAAGGCCTGGGGGCTGATTGTGGCTCCTGGTTTGCCTGAATATGGTCAGTGAGGTTCATGGCTCCCCCCTAGCATTGGGGAGTCTGAGCTGGCGCTGCAGCCCTCTCCTTACCTTCCCCCCACACCCCACTTCAGTCCTGGAGCACACAAAATCTACAAACCCTGGGACCTTCCTAGATTCTGGTGTGCGAGGGGAGTGTCTTTCTCCTTCCTTTCTCCATTTCAGTCAGGGGCCACGTCATTGAGGTGGGGTTTGAGGATTTTTTAAGGTTCCCCACCCCTGAGAGATAGGTTGGGGCTTGAATACTGCTGATGCTCCAGCTAATAATGCAGTGGGAATTCAGCTATGGGTTTTAGCTCAGATTAGCACTGCACATGAAATGCCAGTCCAGTCATTCTGTGCAGCTCAAAGGTAGCATTGTCAAATGGCTGCCCTCACTCAAATTAGTCTAACTTAAGTGGAGTAAACTTGAGTTGTAGTGGAGACACGCCCTATGGCTACGTCTACACTGGCATGATTTTCCGAAAATGCTTTTAAAGGAAAAGCTTTCTGTTAAAAGCATTTTCGGAAAAGCACGTCTAGATTGGCAGGATGCTTTTCTGCAAAAGCACTTTTTGCGGAAAAGCATCCGTGGCCAATCTAGACGCGGTTTTCCTCAAAAAGGCCCCGATCGCCATTTTCGCGATAGGGGCTTTTTTGCGGAAAACAGTACTGTGCTGTTTACACTGGCCCTCTTGCGCAAATGATTTGCTCAAGAGGGCTTTTGCCTGAACGGGAGCAGCACAGTATTTCCGCAAGAACACTGACGATCTTACATGAGATCGTCAGTGTTCTTGCGGAAATTCAAACAGCCAGTGTAGACAGCTGGCAAGTTTTTCTGCAAAATCAGATGATTTTGCGGAAAAACTTACCAGTCTAGACACAGCCTATGAGAAGATCACCACATTTCCATCTCCTTGTATGCATGGAATCCTCCTGGAAATTTTCTCTATCATTTGGAGCTATTACATCATCTGTTTCTGTATTTGTTTCTGTGACTTGCTTACTTACTCCAATCAGTGGGATTTTCTAAGAACTTCAGCTTGCACTGGGACATTTTCACATGCAAATCAGAGGAGAGCAAAACAGAGTAAGAATAGACTAACTCTCTTTTTTTTTTAAGGTGCAAGATGTTTCTTTTTGCCAGACAGATTGAGTGTTCTAATCTGAAATTATGAGTGGTTAGTCAAAACCCTATCTTTAATTAGGTTGCAAAGACTGAGTCATTTTGCAAGCTAGACATTTTAATTTACAATGTACTGCACTGCAGCACTTCTCTAGGCCTTCTGCTGTGTAATAAGGTATTCAACTGGCAATACATGCTTTAAAAATATTGGAGCACTCCATCTCTTAGTTCACTTGTTTGTTTTCTGCTTTCAATTTTAGTTGCAAATCAAACATGCAGTTACAGAGGCAGAGATTCAAAAGCTGAAGACAAAGGTAAGGATCAATACATAG